CCACAGTCCCTTCGCCTCCATTCTCTTCTTGGGATTTTGGGCACACACACCCAAATGCCTGGCATGAGTTTAAGCTGCTGGGTCCAGGACTTGAACTGTGGTCGACTATGTGGGAGTCCAGCAACATAACTGTTAGGCTATCTGCTAGTCCCTAAAGGTGCTAAATCTTTATGTAACATAATAGAAAGCCAATAATGTCTAAGATTAAGAAATCAAGGAACAGCTCAAAATAGAAAGCAGTTGCCTTTAGGGAATATGACTGGAAATAGAGAAAAAGTGGACTTTTTCATTATAATCTTTTTAGTACTATTAGACTTTTTCTTTTAAGAATTATTTAATTAATTTATTATTGTTATTATTTTAAATTGCTATATGGCATGTGTGCTCCCAAGAGAGGTGACAGAGAGAGAAAGGCAAAGTGAGAAAGCAAGCCACCAGGTCCAGGACTTGAACCGTGATTGGCCATGTGGGAGTCCAGTGCCTCAACCACCATGCCCTGCGTTGGCCCAACTGCTAGGCTTTTCAAAGTCTCTATTACTTTGCCTATATGCTTTGGTAATAACAAAAAGACACCAATACCCTCGGTTCGATTCCCAGCAAATCTGGTCAAATCTGAAAGCCATCACAGTGCACACGGAGTACACCAGGCTGTCGGTCTGCGGGGGCAGCGAGGTTTGAGAAAGCCGTCCTCCACCCCTAATGCTACTGTGCACTTGCTGCTGATGATGGTTCTGCATTCCCCCCACTAATCCAAACCCCACACAAGCACTGAAAACCCGCAAGTATACAACAGGCTTTATTCAGCCTCTCCCAGGCCTCCTGCCAGGCTCCCATCCTGCCTTGACTAATGTGACTGTCCTGGCGTGCAGATTCGGTCACAGTCTGGGCGGAAATGCTCAAGCCACCAAGCTGACTGGCTCACTCACGCTGGGGGGTGGGGGTGGGGTGCAGAAGACCATGCAGGCTTGGAGCGGTGGGGGAAGCACAGCAGTCCCTATTCAGCTGAGTCCGGAGCCCCGAGCCCCAAACCTTGCCACAGGGCCTGCTCTCCGTCTGCTGTGGGCTGCTGTGCTGGCTCAGCTCCCTGATGAGAGCCTGTGTCCTCACCCGCAATGATGAAGTCACTGTCCCCATGCTGCCCATGCTCCGACAAATGGATTTTGTCTCAGAGAAACACGTCTGGACTCTGAGTTGAAAGTCTATACTCACTCACTGATTTATGGATCAGGAGGGTGAGTTTCTTCTTCCTCATTCTACCCTCGATTCCTCAGTGTGCTAGACCAGTTCCAGGCCTCTACACGGAGACAGCAGTGGACAGAAACCTTTATTTGCATAATCACAAAGGTTTGGATGAAGTAAGAAGAGGCCGTGAGGACTAGATTAAGGGGTGAGAGTGAGGGTGGAAGAGGGACAGGCCCTCTGGGAGTCAGGAGCGCGGGTAGAGGCTCTCAGCGTTTGGACTGCGCTCCCCACGCTCTGAGGGCATGTCTTCCCCTGGCTCCTGGTGTCCCTGCTGGCCCCTTCCTGTGTCACAGGCCACGGTGCTCCTTCCCCAAACTCGATGGCAGAGTGTGGCTTCACGGACCAACTGCTCGGCAGAGGTGACTCCGACGCGGTTACAGAAACTTTCTGCCGCTTTTCGTGCTGTGGACACCCTTGGACTGCCAGGCAGGGACCCTCCTGCCACCAGAGGACTCTGACTTTTCTAGTAAGGAAGGTCCTGGGCAGTCAGTCCAAGAAGGACCTGGATTCTCCTCCAAGCTGGGGTCTTGGCAGAAATGCTCCTCGGAGCGGAAGGTGCTGCTGCAGGAGGGGATGTCACCCGAGTTTTCAGGTATGGAGTCTAGGGAAGAAAGGTGGGCAAGGGGCCTCAGCGCTCCGCCTCGGCCGTGGCCTCTGCCAGGAGCCAGTCCACCTTCTCTGCGAAGTGTGAACTGAAAGATCCCCTCTGGTGGCATGCTTTCCTTCCTCCTGACTTTCCCAGGCACCATGAACTCCCTGGGCCTCACCGCAACCCCGCTCTTAGACCAGACCCTCTCTCTAGCCTCTGCAGCCCCACCTGCAGCAGAAGCGGAAGGCGCGCACTCCTCACACTCCCATCTCTTACTGCTGGACCTGAGGTTGGAGCAGTCCCTGTGGGTTCCATGGGCTCCGCAGGTCGTACACAGAATGAGGCACCACCTCCTAGGGGAGAGCCAAGGGCAAGGTGTGGGGACAAACAGAACCCTAACTATCACACTCGGGGTCACTCCGGGCCAGTCTCAGGGTGCGAGGGCGTCCCAGGCAGGTTGGACTGCGTGTTACCCATCCCAGACGAGGTGCATGCTGACCCCAGTGCGGCCCCTGCAAGGCAGATTTAGGAAGTCACGGGCCCTGAGTGTCTTCTCCCCATGGGGCGAGAGGAGAAGCAGCCACGCAGAGGGGACTCATTTGCTTGCACGTGAGTTGGGTTGTTCAAGAATGGACTCAGTAGTCAGGTCTGGCCACCCTGAGGTCCACTGCTTGTTGCTCAGGGCCAAGCCAGGGTCCAGCTGAGCAAGGGCCACGTCAGGAGCCCTTTCTAGGCGAGAGCCGTTCCCTACCCTTCATCCTCAAAGCTGTCTCTGCCTTGTCCGTGCAGACAGACGGGGGCATCGCAGTGCCGGTAGCGCTGGTACAACTCTGCGAACGCCCCCGGTTCCAGCTCCCAGGCAGCATCTCTGCAGCAGGAGAGGAGACAGTGAGTGAGGGACATACAGGCGGCTGGTGACACCTCAGGCCACCCAGGAGGAACCCAGAGGAACCCAGGCTAAGCACAGCAAGGGGTTCGGCAGGCTGCCTGAGGCCCGAGGCGGGAGAGCAGCAAAGCAGGGTGAGTGGAACATGGGCGTTCTGTAGTTCCTCCCTGAAATTCTAGCCCCCACAGTGCCCTTTGCAGAAACATGCCTCCCCCAAGGTCCCCTGCCCTTTTCTTTTGCTAGCTGAAAAGTACTCCCTCCACCCCTTCCCTCTGCCCTCGGCAGTGTCCTCGCTCACCCTCCTCTCTAGAAATCGAGACGACCCTCCCCAGCTCGACTCCCGCTGAGTCTCCACTACCTGTCTGGAATATGAATCCCCATTCTTAGCATTTCTCGAGGGAACTCCTCCCGGTTGTTGCACTGTGGGCATTTGAAGAAATGCTTCGCTGACGTGTGGGCGTATTTCTGTAAGAGAAGCACCAAACGCTCAGTGCGTCTCTACCACCTTCCTTCCGCTTCCGCCCTCACCCCACAGAGAGGTTGTTGCTAAGAAAGCTTCATGAGGGGTCCAGGGGGCTTGGGTGAGGGACACAAATCCAGGGGTCTCAGTTGGGCCCAACATGCTTTCAGAGACGAGTCCCAGGAGCACCTCAGCTGTCACTGCTGGCCATGGGGCTTGGTAACTGGCAAAGAAGGGTCGGGGCCCGGATACACGTTTCCCTTTTCTTGTACCCCAGGAAGCGAGGCTGCTCGTTCTGGAATGAGCCCGTTTGCTCTAGGGATTGCTGCTGAGGCTCCTTCCTGGTCTAATTCTATCATGAGTAGGGTCCTGCAGTCCAAGGGTGAGCAGACCCTGGGCTGACTTTCCTCTGGCTGTTGGGACCAGCCCTGCACACAGGCCTCCAGCATGGAGCACCAGAGCTGAGATGCCCGCGAGCATTCCCAGGGTGCTCTGTTCCAGGCAGGGCATGAGGACCCCAGGAAGGTCCCCGGGGCAGAGAAAGCCCACCTGTATGCACGCACGGTGGTAGGTGGCCCGGCTGCAGCACGGGCTCCGGATGTTCCCCATGCTGGCTTGGGATAACGCTTCACAACACAAGATGCAGCTCTCCTCCCCCACACTCCCCTGACGGATGTCCTGTGTGGGGCGATGTTTTCCACAAAACGATCTGTGGCAGGGCAGACACGTGATTTCTGGCTTGGCACTGGCCTGGCCTAGGAAGGGCCATCAGCCACCCTGCCCAGCGCGCAGCGGGCTGCCACTCTCAGCGTGCATGGCCACTGCCTCTCAGGCAGCTCGACTGCCGCCGCTGAGCTGAACGAAGC